GTTATGATTAAAACAAAAAAATAAATAAAATATATTAAAGAAAGAAACGATTTAAATGTTGAACGCACAACACACAATATTTGTATTTAATAATTATTTTCTAATCGTGTGTGTTAACAAATTTTTTAAAGAGACAAAAATCGTCTATTCATTTATTTCAAGCTCGTTCGTGGTTATCATTGGAGTATAAGAAAAAAAGAAAACGAAAGAGAAAGAGAGAGAGAGAGGGAGAGAGAATATTGCGAACATTATAAGCTCAATGCGGTTTCACCATAGGAAAGATTATTTTGACGACAAAACCACGAAGGTGGTCGTGAAAGTTGGTCCATACGCGTAAACTCCCCCACCAATAGAGAACATTCTCACCATCATCTCCTCCTCCTCCTCCTCCTCTTTTCTCGTTCGCCTCGCAACGTCGATTTTTTACGAGGCCGTATCTCGAAGTTTAGTATAAGAGAAACGCGTAGAAAGAAATCATTTTTACGAGGGGTGGTAAGGGGGAGGGCGGGGTTTTGGTTCGAGTACTCATACTTCGTACTTTTCGAAAATAAGAAAAGGATCCTACGAAATATGAAAAGAAATGTTGAAATACACACATATATATATATTTAAACATGTGTTTATAATAATACGAATGTAAGGGTTCACATACATTTAATGTAAGTAGAGAAATGTTACTAACGTAAATGTTTCACAAAGATAATGTATCTAAGCACGCATCTTTTATATATTCGTTATACATAACTATACACACAGATATAATTATTATACATACACGTAATACACGATAAAACCGTATATCCTTTAATTTTCATTTCGCACCTGCCAGAATTTAAAATATAATAACACTTTTCTCACGGAATATAGATCGAATATTTTCAAGTAAAAGTCGAAGTCAGTCTCTCTCTCTCTCTCTCTCTCTCTCATGGGTGGCACGTGTCGAACGAATTAGCGATAATCGATCAAGCCCTAGGGCAAGAACAATTTGTGATAAACACAGGTGGAATCGTGTTGCGTTTCGAACGAAAAGGGAAAAATCCCTTAAAGGGTTAGCCTTTCGGTTTGTCTTATTTTCATTTGATCAAGAATACGAACGAATAAGAAATGAAGAGAAATAAAGAAAAAAAAAGAAGGAGGAAGTAATTAACGAGTAGAAACTTAAAGGGACACTTTCAATCCTTTCGTTCACCCATTAGGGTGTTCTCAAACCTCCCTTCTCTCCCAGGAACACCCCACCACCCTTCTCACTCACTCTTATTCAAAGAACGAGTAATCCCAAAAGAATAAAATGTTTGGTAGGAACAATTAATATAAACGTAATCGTACAGATTGCATTTGAAAAAAAAGGAGACTCGTAGATGTATGTCTTACCTTTGATCGATTAATAATAAAAAATAAAATAAAAGAAGAATAAAAAGAAGAGGAATAGATGATTAGAGAGTAACTTTAAAGGGCTCACTCTCACTCTCTCTTTCTATCCTCCAGCCACCCACTGGGGGGAGGGGGGTGTTCTCAAACCTCCCTCCTCTTTTCCCATGAGTACACTACCACCCTTCTCTCTCTCTCTCTCTCTCACTCTTATTCGAAGAACGAGTAGTAATACGAGTAAAGGAGAGAGGGTTTGCGCGCGCGCGTCGATTGGCCGCAGAGAGAAACGGAGTGTGTGTACGTACGGCTGGGGTTTCATCCGTGGTGGTGGGAGGAACCACTGTCTCTGTATATGTATATACGTAGGTGTGAAAGTGTGTTAGAAAGAAAGAAAGAAAGAAAGAAAGAAAGAAAGAGATATACTGAACGACCGACGACGACGACGTCACCGTCGTTGCTGGCTGCTGGTTGCTGGTACTGGTGCTGCTGCTGCTGCTGCTGCCACCGTCATAGTCGTCGTTTCGTTTCCGTCGTCGTTATACCCACCACTACCACCCCACCACCATCACACCAACCCACCACCACCTCTACCAACCCACCACCACCACTGCCGTCAGCGTAGTCGTCGTCGTAGTCGTTGTAATTGTAGTTGTAGTCGTCGTCGTTTCTGGATTCACGCACCAGCTGGTGCGGCGCGTTAGTATACAGTCAGGAGTTCGATCGTGGCACGAGTCAGTAGCACATGAGCGCTCGTAGAGCGAGTATCGTTCCGTTAAGCGAATATCTCGCCCGGGCGATAATGTCATCGAGTGATCGTCGAGCGTATTATACGAGAGGATCTTCGAATAAACCGTAAAAAGTATAAACACAACAATTTTATTATCGTTTATCTCGTTTTTGTTTTTATATTATTATTATTATCATCAGTAATAATAATAATAATAATAATAATTGTCGGGATTGTCAAGATTATAATCGTATATATATATATATTTATATATATATATGTATGTTTGTGTTTAACGTATATTTAAATATCAGAGACATTTGATTTTAATATTCGAACAGATTTTGTGTGTATATATATATATATTATTATTATATATATATTTTTTTTTTCTCTTCTTCTTTTCTCTCCTCCTAAATTTGAAGAAAAAAGAAGAGAGACGTGTTTCGTTTTGTATTTATAATTCGTAACGCGCGCGCGCGCGTCGCGTGTGAGAAAATAACACATCGAAGAAAATCATCATCGTCGTCATCGTCATCGTCGTCGTCGTCGTCGTCGTCGTCGGGTGACAAGAGACACGGGGGAGGTTTTTTTCCGTCGATACGACGACGAAAATTTAACGAGAAGAGGAGAGAGAACGTGGTTTTCGATCATAATTATTATTGTTACCAAATTTTTCTTTTTCTTGAAAAATTTATTAAACTATACGACGAGACAACAACAACAAAATCAGCAGCAGCAGCAGCAGCAGTGATAGCAGCAGCAGCAACAACAGCAGCAACAGTTAGAAGTGAGAGAGAACTATCATTCTGAAAAGGAATATAATTCACGCACCACGACTATAAGATTTCAAATTCATCATCTCGAATGCGTGTTTTTTTTCTTACCGAAAGAAAGAAAAATCATCATCAACGACAACAACAAAACATTACTCTCATCATATCTCCTCCCCCTACCCCCGTGTTTCGCGAACTCGTTCGCCTAATTATAATCCATCGCGAGGAAGTTTGAAAAACGCGATTTGTGAAGAACAAAAATTGTCTTTTAAGATATTTGAAAGAAAGAGAAAAGACAACACGGACTTTACTAATTGATTGATTGATTGATTGATTGACTGACTTACTGATTGATTGATTGATCGATCGATTGATTGATTGAAAAAAATATAAGAGAGAAAAGAAAGAAAGAAAAAAAAAATAAAAAAGAAGAAGACAAAATTGAGATCGTCACGTAGAAAACGAGTCGCGATCATCGTCATCGTCATCGTGTTTCGTCGTCGGTGTTGCTTGCTCTACGTATATTTTCTTTTTTTTTTTTTTCTGTTTTTCAAGTGAAAATATCAAACACACCCACCCCCCCGTCAACAACGCACGCACTGCTAGTTGGTTGGTGGGACGCCTAGAAATTATTTTTAGACATTTATATATATATATATATTTGTTTTCGTTTGGTTCCCTTATATTTCTTTCGTATTCGCGAGAGAATTGAAAAAGGATTTGTTCAAATTTGAGACGAAGGGATTCATCATCGAATCGTGTTGTTCATTCCCAAGTCTTAAGTTTTCCTGTTCTCTTCTACGCGTCGACGAATCAAATTAAAAATAAAAGGACAAACTAACGAATCAACAAATAAATAAATAAACAAACGGACTGCTCAATATATAATAATCGTATATTTAAATATTATTCGTTTTCATTTTCTTATTTCGTGTGTTAATAAAATATTCGCCGAAGGTGTGTTAGTTTTTTTCTATATACGATATATAATAGATATCAAGTAAATACATTTATATATTATATATATATATATATACGCGTACGTTATTATCAATCATCGAATCACCAAAAGAAGAAGAAGATACGCGTATATCCGAACGCCGCCGATACTTTTTCGAAAACCAGCTGCTAGTGTGGTGATTAGCGATCGTTGATTTATTCATTACTTACTTATATTTGAAAAAAAAAAAAGAAATAAAAAAAAAGAACAAAATATATATATAAACAGAAAAAAAAAAGAAAAAAAATTTATAATTAAAGAGAAGAGAATTTTTAATAAAGTGGGGAAACCAAAATTCATATTTTTTAAGTGAGAGGGCCTTTTTTCGTCGACTTGTGTTATACGAACGAGCCGAAAATGGTGCCACAACAGCAGGACAGCCCTTCGAGCTCCGGTATTCCGATGTTTGGATCTTTACTAGTGGATAAAAATTCTTCTACACCTTATTCGGATGCTACACAGGTAAATAATTTAAAAAAAAAAAAAAATACTACTAATCGTTCTAATAAGTTCAATATGCTAAATCTTTCCTCTTCCCTTTTTCTTCTTTTTCTTCTTAATCTTTCCTCGAACAATCTTACATTTTAATGATACGTTAGTATATAAAAAGAAATAAGAAAACAATATAAGTGTATTCAATTAATTATTGTCAACGTAGAAATTTTTATTTGAGGCCGCCTCGTGTTACGAGAGAGAAAGAATGAAAGAAAGAAAGAAAGAGATAGAGACCTTGACAATGATTCGTACATGCCGTTTCGTTACGTTACATGCAAGGAGAAAACAAGTTGCAAACGAAAGATAGAATAGAAATCGATAGTGAATGCAATTTTAATCTAAGATCGTTTTTTCATGATAAATATATATATTAAATATAATATATTTTAATTTGAATAAAGAAGCCGACGTTTTACTTTAGCGGAGATCTCACTTTTGATCTTTGCAAATGTTTTTTTATTATTTTGTCCTTTTCTTTTTTTTTTTTTTATTTCTTTTCAATTATTTATTATCTCTATAATTTCCTGCCTTTTCAATCGTGTTAAATAAGAAAATTGTTATCTCTCTCTCTCTTTCTCTCTCTTGAATTATACTTTTCTTAACCCTGAGGATATAAAGAGGCGAGAGTCAATACGATTTCTCAAGTTGATCTTAGAAAACTTATGTTAGATTTAACGCATTACGTCCGGAATAGAAATTCTACGAAAATCTTTCGGAAATCTCGTTAAAGGTAGCAGCAATAATAATAATAATAGTAGTAGTAGTAGTAGTAGTAGTTAGTAATAGTAAATTGCGTGTAAAACTATTTCCTTGGTATTAGTATTTTAGTTAGATAGTATTAGTATTAGTAGTAGTAGTAGTAGTCTATAATACTTTGACGAAAATCACTTTCTTGGCAACCGACGCCAATCGTCGGTGAATAAGAGAGAGATAGAAAATAAGTAAAAGAGATACGCGTGGAAAATCATGCTAGGTTTCGTTTTTCTCACATTTACGTTATACCTATATAATAATATTCTACATTCAAACGTGGTATATGTATAAATATATTAGTTTCTAAACGCGTTGACAATTCTATTACACTTAAGATAGACATACACGTATCTAACGTTTATAAACTCGATTTTCGTGTGTAGGAGGAGGAAGCATCTATGTGTATGTGTGTGTATATGTGGTTAGGAAAAAAAAAGAAGATATTTATTTTCTTTCTTTTCTCCGTTTTTTTGTGTTATTATTATTATTGTTATTTTGTTTGGTTTCTCTTATCATAGCAGCACGTGTCGTGACTTCGGTCCTTTTATTTATTTGTTTATTTGTTTCTCATGAAAATTACGCGTTATATTTCGTGAAAGAGATTAACGATGCGTTTAAAATTATTTTGAATCTGATCATATATTATAAATCATTCGTTGGTAGTGTGGTAGTGTTATACTTCTTTTTCGTTAAAAACCTTCCAAAGGATTTACTTGACGACAATTTTCTTATTCTTTTTTTCTCTCTCTCTCTCTCTCTCTCTCTCTCTCTCTCTCTCTCTCTCTCTCTCACTCTCGGTCGAGTGATTTCTGACAAGACACATAAAAGTTAAGAGAAAAAGTAGAAATAGAAGAAGAAAAATATAAAAAAGAAAAAGAAAAAAAAATGGAATGTTACGAGGTGCGATGTTTATCGCACGGTAACCTTTTCTCAACTTTTGGAAAGAAGTAGGAGTTCGTTAAGTTTGTTTTTGTCACTTCTTTTTCTTCTACTTCTACTTCTACTTCTACTTCTAGTTCTTAGGACACGAAAGAACTTTTTAAAAGAAAAAGGATAGATAGAGCGTGAAGAAAGGGGCCAGGAAAGGGGGGTACTGATGGTGGTGATGGTGGTGATGCAGGGTAAAACAGGGAAGGAAGAAAATGGTGTTTGATTTTTATCGAGTGCCAAGTAAAAGTTTCTATTTCGACGTGTCATTTTCGTAAGCTTGTGTTCGTTCTTTTTTCCATTTCTTATCTTTTTTTTTCTCTCTCCATCCATCCATCCATTCATTCATCCATTCATCCATCAATGCATTCATTTTTCTTGAATATTTTCTTTCTTTTTTTTTAATTTCACCTCGTTTTTTTTTCTTCTGTCAAATCGACACGTTTGCGATGGTATATAAAAGTGGTAACGAAGAATATTTTTTGTCGACGATTAGAAAGAAATACAATTGCGTCATTTTAATGAGTCTCTTACGAGAATGAAGGTAAAAGAATGAGATATATATATATATATCAAAGAATGAAATTCAACGTTGAACGGATGATTTATCGTGTAACAAACGACTTTAAGCGATATTACGGATTTCCACCGAACACATACGAATGAACGAAACGAATGGAATGAGAACACATGTGAGAGAGACACGTTTCGAAACGTCCGTCGTGTATAACATCATCATATCATCATTATCATTATCATCATTTCTCGTATTTTTGCGAATCAATTTGTTTTCTATTTCTTTTTCTTCTTTCAAATACCATGCTTATTCGATTTTTTTTTCTTTTTTTTTTTCCCCCTTTCCACAAATTTCTAACGCAACCATTTTCTATTTCAGTTTTTCCCGTTAGATATTTTCTTTTTCTTTTTCTAATATTTATTTTAATACTCTTTTTCTATAACATTAAGAGACGAGTAATTAGATAATTTATAAGTGGGAATATTATTATTTGTAAGATATATAATTGTGTTTATTTTTTTCTATTTCCCGGAAAACGATTTCGTGTATCTTTTCTTTTCTACATCATTTATTATAAATCACTACAAATTGTTATGTTTCGTTTGTAAAATAAATATATCACGTTGCTTCTCTATTAAAAAGATTTAAAATATATATTATAGTAAGAGTATTAAAAAAAAAAGAAAATAAAAAAGAATTCTCTATCATATCTAACAGTAAAGAGTATTTTGTACCAATAATTTAAATTCTAAACATATATATATTATAATAGTATATTACGTTACATACATATACGAATATAGTAACGGTATCGTTTCGGATCGTGTTATTTCGTGATTAGTGTTCCATCCAAATTTCAGCATTTTTTTTACGAGAATACTCTCTCTCCCTCTTTCTCTCTCTTTCCCGAAAGTTTCGTTCTCTATAATTATAACGAAAATATAGAATCCATCCATTTCTATCTCTTCATTATTCTCTTATTATTTCTTTTTCTTTTTTTTTTTTTTGATGTACCAATATTAAATATTATTCGAGTCAAGTTGATATAACCCGTTTTGTTGCAGTTCCTTTCGAGATTTTCGACCCTCTCGATTATCCCTTTGGATTTTAATGGTTCCGACTCTAATTCTAGAGCTCAAGTTATTCTCTCTCTTTCTCTCTCTCTTTCTTTCTATCTTTCTTTCTCTGTTTCGTTTTCGTATCCAGGTAGTCTCAAGGGTCATGTAGCTTTTATCGCCTCGAGGAAAACGCCGGACTGTCTCCTCCCCCTCCCCACCTTTCCCCTTTAATTCCTCTTCTTCATCTTCTTCTTCTTCTACTATCGTCGAATCTTTTGGAGATGAGCCACAAAATTCTTAAGCTTTTATCCATCGTGATCGATTGATTATTATTTTTAATCTATTGTGTGTTATAATATTTATTTATTTTTTTTAATAATTACGTATGTGTGATTAGTATAATCACAGGTGTGTACAAAAAATAAAGCTATGAAAAGAGAGAGAGAGAGAGATGGATAGAGATAGAGTTAAGATTAAATGTAAAAATTGCATCGAACATATTACATTAAGATTAAATGTAAAAATTGCATCGAACATATTACATTAAGATTAAATGTAAAAATTGCATCGAACATATTACACATACTCACACACACACATATATATATATATATTATGAAATTAAAAGTTTAAGAAAATCGATACGAAAAAAAAGATCAAATGATAAATGATAAAATAGGAAAAAGAATTAGGAGTAGGAAAAGAAGATGGAATAGGAGGAGGAAGAGGAATGAGAATGAACAAGAGATATGGGGGAAGTGGGGGGTAGAAACGTGGGATCGGTAATTTTCGTCTCGATTCCAATTTCTTTTTCTCGCGGGCTTAATCTCGTCGAGCAGCAAATTGGTGCTGGCCCCCTGAACTTCTCTTTGACTGGACTCTCCCTCCCTCTCTCTCTCTCTTTCTTTCTTTTTCTCTCTCTCTATCTATCTTTGTCCGAGGCCTCGCCTCTTCTCCGATAGGTACAATCCCATCAAATTACCTCGATTACCTGCAGCCTTGACGGCATACACGAGCCTCTCTAATAGACGGCACACCGACGTTAACGACGACGAAACTCTCTGAACGTGTTTTTGTTTGTAGTAGTGTAACCAGCACACAACAACCACCTTCTATCGATATTTTTTCTTTATAGATGTGTCTACATACCTATATCTCATCTAATCGTGTGTGTATATATGTGTGTGTACGTACGTTTGCTTGCATGTGTCATGTTTTTGTGCATATTGCACAAATAACATTGTGCATGTTATAAGAAATAAGAGTAAAATTCGAGAAAAGGATGAGGAGGATAGGTGGGTGGTGGTGGTGGTGGTGGTGATGATTCTACTCGTCGTTGTCATGAAAATCGATATCTCCAAAGTGTTTATTTTTTTAAATGCATTACTGTACTAGGATAATATTCTCGTACGTTTATCTATGGGGTGTTACTATATTATTTGTATTTTTATTTTTTTAATTAGTTATACAATGTGTATAGTGTGATCTATGCAAATAATGCACAGATTATTATTTAATCGATCAAAATTTCAATTATTTAGGATAATAATATTAGAATATTGTTTTTTTTTTTTTCGATAATATTTATGGATATGATGAAACTTTAGTAAAGGTTACTAAAAAAAAATCAATTGTCCGGTTTCCATAATAACCATTAAACCTCTCTAACTTATTATCGATCAAAATGACCGGTTTTTATTGGAGATTTTAAC